GCTTCGGAAGCACGAAAAAAATATTGACGGAAGCAGAATTTTCGCACTCGTTCGATGGGTCTTAGAAAGTGCGCTGAACCAACGGAGCCGGTGCGGCGTTTGCCGCGATCACTTCGTCGTCGGTCTAGCGGGATACAATTCCAACGGTTAATAAAAGACACTCGTTCTAAGGCTACGCCACGCACAGCACGTGTTATCACTGAGTCTCTCTAGGATACAGGTTTTCATCAATGGGATAAGGGCGCCGAGACGGTTGATTGGCGAGCGCTCCTGGTGTTTTGCGGGCTGAGCATACATCACCGTCCGTGATTTTTGTGCTTTCCTCGGGCTCCACAAACCGACCCAAGAAGAAATTATAATATGCTATTCAGAATGATACCCCGACTCGGTCCGTTGCTTCACCATTCTCGATGAAAGGTTTCCGATTTACAGCCATCCCAAGCACACCAGAATCCCTACCTACGAGAGACAGAAACTTCAGGTATTGGAGGTCTTCACGACATCTCCTTGCATCTTTTGGTATCGTTCCTCCCCAGACGCCGATCATCAAATCATCGGGAAGCGGTTCTGAATCAAATCTAACGGATATGGAAGCCTCCACCACTGGTGTAAAACCTTGGCCTCTATTCCAATGGGCCGAGGCCCCGGCAGCTCCGACATTCCCGAACAGCTGACTCCGAGGCTCATCAATTTGAACCGGAAAACAACCCGACAGGGACAGACAAAAACGGTGAAATTCTGGACTTCAGGACGGAGTTCCCGAAATCCCCAGCGATCCCCAGAGAAGGCGCTCACGTATAGAGAATGGAAACTCACAGCGACCCAGTATATATCGATAATGCTCTTCGGGGCGTGGTTCTTGAGCGCAAGCGCGGCTGAGATCTCCTCTATCCTGATCTGGCGCAGTGTTCTCATCTAAGATCTGCGAAACAACAATTTCCCGTAATCAGGCGAGAATACCCGACGAACGGAGACCAGCTGGGTGCCCAGCCCGAGAAAATCGATGGTTAAAGTCTGGGGATCGGGAAGAAGAGGAATCAGGGAATTCCCTGCTGGTCGAGCGGTATCGCCCAGACTTCTTAACGAAGGCAGCTCCATGTGACAACACCCCGAGGACCTAAATTTTCTTGTGGCTGCGGTGCAAACGCGATATGTGAACCCACGTCCCCGTCTGAGAAATCGACGGGTCTGCGCAATCAGCATTCCCTCCAGGCTGCCCAGATTTCTGGCAGCACTCGCACCTGTAACCCGTCCCCCAACCTTCCTCACTTTTGTGGTTTATAGACATAAGGAGATACGGCGTATTCCTAATGTATCCGTTCCTTGGGTTAGTGCGACTATCACGGAATATCACGAATGTTTCGACTAATCAAACCAAAGATGAATGAATATACATTCTTTGAGAAATTCGGCTGACCTTGTCAGTGGTGGAATTTCCCGCGAGCTTCTTTTTTTCTTCCCATGTCGAAGAACCGTGAACGTCATCGGTGAATTCGATCATCTTCGGAATCATCTTGCTTCAATCTTTTTCGTCTGCTACGTGCTCGATTCAAGACGTGCTTCAATCAGCTCTTCCTGAATTTCGGTTCTCCTCTGTCTTTCCGTGCCTTTCGGTTCTGAGAGCTCACCCATCAAGTCCTACTTCTCTCACCTGAAAATTCTCAAAATCTCCCACCGCGTCTTCACCTGACTATGTCTTCTTCTGAAGTCCAGGCTGGACCGCTACCTGGTGCGCTAACACTACGACTTGCTGTGACGGGTACGACCCCCACTCTCGTAACCTCTTCTCCAGGCTCAACCTCGCCTTCGAGGAAATTTCTCCGCTACGTCAGGAGAAACTACACCTCTTGAATCGGATTGATCTCCTCGAGCGAGAATGCTCGAATCGTCCAGCTCTCGCGCAGTCGCACCTCGTCCCGCCCCCACCTTCCCCCGGTTATCAATCCGGCGATGTCCACCGCCTCCTCATTCCATCTCCACAAAGAAGCCCCTTCTTTCCTCTCCGCTCCCCGTACAGTCATACCCCCCAACCCTCCTCAGCTTTCCCCCCCAACCCCCCTCGACTCAGCCAAGCCCTACTCAAATTCTTCTGCGCAAATTCAGCCAACCTACCCTACCATTCCTGCTCCACCTCCGTCCCGAGTCCGTCGCGATGGCGGTATTATCGGCGTTAGTACCTCGGAGTCCAATATCATTGCGGCCTCGGATTCTGCAAAGTCGTTCCTCATCTTTGTCGGCCGGGCCGATCCTAGGACTTCTGCATCGGCCTTGCTCGACTTCTGTCTCACGATCTCTCGTGACGTTATCTCAGTCTCCAAACTCAGCCCTCCAGATCGCATTTGCACGCCGCGCACTGCTTCGTTTGTCGTTGAAGTTGAACCTAATTCATTCGATACCTTCTTCAACCCGACTCTTTGGCCGCCTGGCATCCTTGTCGACAGATTTGGGGGCAGGTCGGTCAGACAGGACCGAATCTGCGAGTCTGCTGTGAATAATCCTGCCTCGTATTCCTCGAGCAAGTTCCCCGACCCGGTACATTCTGACGAAGATGTCCCGCCTACTAATTGACTCAAAACCCAATCCCTCCGAATTTTGCACATCAACGCCCGCTCCCTTCGATCATCCCACAAGTTTGACATCATCGCTGCCCGCTACTCTGGATGTTATGACATCATTCGCTGCTCCGAAACCTGGTTTCATCCTGGTGAGGCCTGTATCTACCAGCTTCCTGGATTCACCCATCACTATGTCTGTAGAGATCCGGGTTCGGGGGGCTGCGGTGGTGGTGTTTCGGTTTCCACCAGTGATGCCATCTCCATCTCGGCCGGAAGCTCTTTTCAACCGTCAGACGGACGCATCCAGGCTATCCATCTTTCCGTCTCCCTTGATGGTTCGAAATTCAATCTCCTTGCGGTGTACTCTAGCCACTCATCTCTTGCCGGCACTCTCGGCATTTTCCTTGATGAGCTCGTTTCTAGCTCAGACAATCCGCTAATCCTCGTAGGCGACCTCAATGTAGACCTCCGCTCCCCGGCTGCATATGGTTCTCCCTCTGCCTACACAACCTAAATCTTGTGGAGACCCATAACTTTGTCACTCGTCCCTCCTCCCTAACCTGTCTTGACCATATCTGGATCTCAAATACTGGTTGGGCTGCAATCCGCCACATATCGATTCTCGAATGTTTGGATTTCTCCGATCATTTACCGGTCTCTTGTACCCTTGAACTGGCCTCTCATCCCACCTCCTACTCCGTCCCCCGCTCTGACCGCTTTAGAGTTTTCAGCCAGTCCAACTATCGCAAGTTTTTCCGGCAGCTACATCGCACTGACTGGAGCGAGCTATTTGTCTGCACGGAAGTCGATCCGGCGCTTGCTATTTTCCCCCGGCGTCTCTTTTTCATCTGCGATCAATGTTTCCCCTTGCTCCATGCATCTCCGAGATCTTTGAATCGGTCCATTTGGTACACACCTGCACTCTTCCGGCTCAGCCGTACCCTCAAGCGCATTGCCATGCACTATTTCCGGTCCAAGTGTCCTTCCCTTAAAGGTCAATACTATTCCCACCTCCATCATTATCGTAGAAGTGTTCGTAACGCCCGTCACGTCTATACACGCCGCCTGATTGCTCGCACCAGAGCTTCTCCCAGAAAACTCTGGAGTCTCATCAATACTGCTTCTGGACGTGATCGGGGCAAATCTCAAAGTATCCCTGATTCCGATCCGAGTGACCCCACATCTATTTTGGATGACTTCGCTCGACACTTTTCCTCTATCGGAGAAACTACTGCAGCTCGCCGCCCTGCGGCCACATCTGCTTGGATGCCTCCCCCCTCCACCTCGCACGACTGTTCGCTCAAATTCATTGATCCCTCTAGCTTGCCGTCCATCTGCAGAAACATCAAGTCATCCTACTCTCGCTCCGCTACCTCGGTCCCGTCTAAAGTTATTTGCCTCTCAATCGACCTCCTTGCCATCCCTATAGCATTTCTTTTCAATCTCTCTATCCGTTCAGGTATCTTCCCTACAGCCTTCAAACGTGCCGTCGTTGTCCCTATTTATAAAGGGAAGGGCGTTCGGACAGATCCTTCCAACTACAGGCCCATCAGTCTCTTGCCCTTCCTCTCCAAAGTCTTCGAGAAGTGCATCCTCGCCCAACTCCATGATCTTACAGCGTCTATCCTCTCCTGTCACCAGCATGGCTTCAGAGCGGGTTACTCTACTGATACTGCCCTCTGTGAATTACGGCATTTCATCCTGAGCGCCTGCGACGAGGGCTCCTACGTTGCTGGGGTGTTCCTTGACCTCTCTAAGGCATTCGACTGTCTAGATCCTT